TATATGTAATATACAAATACCCACTCGAAAACATACAAATAGGGGGATAGAAAGAAATGGGACAAAGGAAGTATCAACTTTAATGGGGCAAACATTATATCCCATAGTTCCATGTCCAGTATCCAAGGCAATCTGTGGCCAGATGTGAACTTCAAAGGGCTTGTGACACTTCACCCTTGTGGCACTGCATGTGGTTACAGGTCTCAAGGCTTTCCTCTTGAGCTGGTTTTGCTCTCCTTCCAAATTTCCTCAGATAATCCACATTCCTGGCTTCTCCATCCTTCTGGGGTCCATATTCAACCTTCAGCACCACACTCACAGCTTCACATGTTGCCCGCTCAAGGACAAACAACCTGGCCTTCCCAGCCTTTTGGGTACAGCCCTTTCTGACCCACAACACTTTCATTCTACATGTGTCTAAAACCAACACCATTCACAGCCTATTACTTTACCGTAGACTACTTCTCCTATGTGATGTCCCTCTGCCATGCCACCATGCCTTGGAACTAGTTGACTATGCCCAGAAGTCTCCAGACTATGAGGAAAAATGAGCCATTCCTCCTTTACCTTGCGGGTGACAGGTATTGAGGTTCTTTTTTTTTTTTTTTTTTTCCGGAACCGGGGATTGAACTCAGGCCCTTGTTCTTGCCAGGCAAGCGCTTACTCTACTGAGCCATCTCCCTGGCCCCAATATTCTTGATACAAAAATCTACATCAATCAGTGCTTAGTGGATTAGCGGATTGAATGCAACATATACAAATATGTAAGAATTTGTGAAATTGGCTTACAGTGGCCACCTGCAGAGTCTGGTGTGGAAGAGTACAAAAGGTCCATCTATGTGCTGGAGATCCTTCAGATCTAATCAAAGTCCTGGGGCCTGTTGTAGTATTTTACATAAGTCTGCATCAGGAGGCCAAAAGGTCTGTGATGGAAGACTGAAGAACCTGTGCTGGGCACCAGGAGACAATGTCAAAAGTGAAGGCAAAGACTGGAGCTCCTCCAAAGAAACAGAAGCAAGCCTTCCTTCTTCTGTTCTCTTTTATATTGTGTAGGGGAAAGCCCAGTGGCTGTCATCACTCACACCCAGTGAACCCTGGCATATCTTCAGTGCATCCTGCAGCCACGCCAGGAGCTGTGCTGCCCAGTGCAGTCAGGCGTTTCTTACTCAGGTGTGCATAGTCACTTCCTGCTTCTTAGTACTGCACAACAGAGCTTGGATTTCAGCATGAGTTTTGACGGGGACACGGACAGCTATGTAAAGGTGGATCAGTTGTTGAGCTAGAATGCCTCTTCTATCTGTTTGCTCAGTGTGGATAAATGTAAGGGGCATATTTCTTGGCTGATGCCCCAGAGCTACACACTTGTAGGTCTGTTTTCCTCTTTTAGTCAACTTACTTTGTATGCCACCTGTCCACTCAGTCTACCAGGCAGTAGTTTCCAGAGCTGGCAGAGTTAAAGAAATACCTGGGTAGCTTTAGAAATCTCACCTTTTCAGACTCCATCTACCCTGTGGATAAGGGAGGTGCAACTAGTCACCCCAGACTCTCACCATATAGCCCATGTTGTGCTCGTAATGCTGCTATGTGATCGTGTTGTGCCAGTCTACTCATGATGTCCCCCCATGAAGCAATATTCACAAAAGCAGCAGAATAATGTGAGATGCTCAGGACAGGAAAGAGGTCCCAGTCACAGCTAGAAGGCAAGTTGGAGACTGAATACCCAAGTCTAGGCAGGGGGCGGTAATACTGATTCTGGTGTGTGTCATCTTGTCACATTCCATACACTAAGATCCAGTTTCTGCCTTTAAATTCTGGGGTTATTTTTCATGTCTGTTTGTGATTCTTTGTCTCTGTCTCTCTGTGTCTGTTCGTCCATCTGTCTGTCCATATCTTTCTGTCTCTGTCTGTCTGTCTGTCTCTGTGTGTATAGTTTTTTTTTCTTTCTCTTCCTATTTTTCAGCTTCTACCAAAGTGAAAGACAAACATAATATGGTGTAGAGATATGGGAACTTCAAAAAATGTAAGGAGACATTGAAGAAAGACATTTAAGAAAAACAAGAAAAGCCTTTGAATAGTGTATGTGAATGAGTTCCTTATGAGTGTAGAATAAATGATTCTTTCATCTTAAGCACAATTGTATGTCAGTTTTCAAGTGAATGACTTTATAAAGACTGATAGCACTGTCATCAAAGATGATCTTTTATTAAAAACTATTTTTTATGTAGAGAATCCTTTGCTGTTCTTTCTAAATTAAACCAGGCAAGTCCTGTGTGAGTCTCATTCACTCAACAAATATTGGTCAGTGAAGACACTAGCCTCCTGGAGATTACAGCCTGATATGGAAACAGAAGTTGGCAATCATTATGCAGGGTGGTAAAGGCTGTGAGGGGAGGTGTGGAGCACAGAGGAAGTCTTTACCTCAGGGAGCCTTGAGAGAAAGGGAGGTCTCAAGGCTGCATCCTGAAGGGAGAAAAGTTGCTGACAAAGAGTGACCACCACATTGGCTAAGCCATGGCTTAGTGATGAAAAGGCATTGTGTTCTGTGTTGGTCCTGGGCTAGACTGAGTCTGGGGCAAGCAATGAGGCTAGTGGGTTACAATGAACTAGATCATGAAGGGTCTCATCCAGCACCATGAGAAGTCTGAGACTTAGAGGGGGTGACCCACTCCATTACAATTTTTGTAACTAGCCTTCTTCATTTTCTATTACAGACCTTATAAATTAGAGATATTGTCATTCTCTTTGTCACAAATAAACAAGAGCTTACAAAAGTAGTCCCATAAGGAGAAAAGATTTAATAGTGCAGATGTCTAGTATTAGGAATACTTTTGACAATTTGAGTGATAAATAGTACCCAACTCTGATATAAAACGTTTTCTAACTGGTGAAGTTGAGTCTATATTATACAAATAGAATGCCTTATGCTGATGATCTGCTTTGTTTTTCTGACCTTAGAGCTTTGAATATATGCCAACCAGAAGCTGCCTGTGTGACCTTGGGTCTCTTAGGAAGCTTTCCTAGTTAGATGCCTAGGAAATATTGCTGCATTTGCATAGCTGGGACAAGTGTGTGCTCTGTGTGACTTCACGAGAGGAAGAGGACTTAAGAAAGCCAGCAGATGGATTCCCCCAGACTCAGACCCACCTATTCTGTCCCCTACGAACCTCTGTATTTCCTTATTGCAACCCTGGGATAAATCTTAGCTATGTGTATATATGCTGAGACCCATGGGTCTTCTAACATAGGGGAGTTCTTGAGTCTTTTCTGCGTGTATGTTTGAGTACCCATAAGTCTTTATTGAATGCGTAAAAAAATTAAACTGTCAAAAGATATAAGTATTATTGTTCATATGACATGTATAAGAATACTTATGTGTACATGAACATATATACGCACATACATCAGAACTATGTAAACACACACATGTGCAAATCAGAACTTGTTTAACCCATTTCTCTAATTATCAAATGTGGTTCAGAGTGATTTTTCACTTTCACCTTTAAATGGCAGAGATATTTCAGGCTTCCAGAGAGTGAAGGGAGGGAGCTTGCCCAGTTAGCTCCAAGGCAATTTCACTTCCAGAGCTCTAGAACAGATTTAAACAATGGCAGAAGTCCTTGGAGTATTTATAACATATCAAGAACACTTTTTCTTCTCTTTTGTATGTGGAAAGATACTTAATTTTGCAGGCTGGTATTCTAAAAGCATCCACGTTGCTGTACTGCAGCACCTTCATGCAATCACCCTCTTGCTACATTAAGTATGCATTAGTGTTTATGGAATAATTGCCACAGACTACACACTTTCATGTAATTTATATCGGGAAACTCTACTCCAGGCTTCCTATAAGAGAATTTCTTTTTAAACAACTAGAAGACATTCCTGACCTTTCATCGAGCATCCCATCCTGCCTGATGGAGCTTGTGTCTGACCAGGAAACCTGCACATTCCTTATGGCTTCATATTCAGCGTTGAAAATTCCTTGGAGTTCTTTCTGTCCTCTCTTCCTCAGCCCCCAGCAGTGACATAATCCTGTTGAGCAGTCCTTAGATAGGGCTTGGAGTTCCTTTCAACTTACCTTTGTCTCTGTGCTGAGAAAGAATTGTGACATAATAGTAGGTTTACTGCTCCCTGCTTTCTGTTAAACCTTGAAAACCACTGTAGTAGCATTTTCTATAATTTAGAAGTGTAAAATATCACTTCTTAAGCATGGCTGAGCTTTTGTGTGATCTTTATTTCTTGTTTAATTGGACAGGATTTATAGTTCATAAATGAACTGTAATATAGAATGTCTCTGGAGGTCTTAATATACAGTATCACATTGATTTCCAAACAGTATGTGGTTTCACAAGGGTAGATTTCTTCATGGGTTATTTACATATTTCTACTTTTGCTTCAGTGTCTTCCCATCCTCTCTTTTTAAAATTTATCCTGTTCTCAGTCAGCCATAATATTTATTTTGGTACTTATTACACTTATAGAAGAAAGCTTTACATTTCTTCATAATCCTGAAAGCAAATTAAACCTTTAAATTGATTTCTTTATTTATAATGACTTAATGGAAATGCTTATTATTCATGTGAGCCTAGATTGATGATTGCAGGTATTTTAGAGCTTTCAATAATAAGAACAGCCACCACGGGCCAAGGTTCTTTTATTATATTTGAATAGGAAAGGTATTTTGTTTATTTCACTTGATTTTGTGCTTCCCGGTCAGTTGCTTTAATGGAAAGTATATTTTCTATTGATGTAACCTTACATAGCATCAGTTGTTATCAAGAGAAATATTACTTGTGACCAAAATGCTGATAATTTGTATAGGATTTGTATATAGAGACCATTTAATGATATTAGTGTTGCAAAATATCGCAGTATTGGTGACATTGTTCATTTTAGAATAAAATTTTCTGAAGCTTTCACATAAAGGCTGATTTTTCATTCTCAAAGAGAAATCAATGTTGTATCCCCTACATTGTGGTTTTTGGTATTTTCTCTTCCAGTTTTCCAGAGACGTGGTCCTTCAGAGCCTACACATCTGTTCTGTATTTTGACCCTTGTATGAAAATATTTATTCAAGCCAAAAAAGTTCAAACGAAACACCTATGCTATTGCCTGTACAGACCTAGGTAACTCACCATTTTTCATTTATTTTTCTAGACTTTTTATTTATAAAATTAATACAAATTGTCAAATAGATATAATGTGTCAAAGTGAGGGCACTGACTTTGATAAAATGTTTTGCATTGCAAACAACTCAAACTGCATTCAGGAAAATGTGTTAGCGAGTATTCATGTATGGCAGTGTATTTGGCAGGAAGAAGAACACACTGCAGTAAACATGCTAAGTTAGATATACACTCCAAAGTAGAAGTTTGCTCTCCAAAGTAGAAGTTTGCTTTTCACTTCAGCACATCTCAGGTTCTTTGATGGCGACTGATTGCATTAAAAGATCACAGCTCACTTATATTTTCTGCTGACATAATGCATTGAGCTATTAAATCATGTACAGTCTTATACCGCATACTGATGTTTTACTCAATGGTAGATTTCATGTGTGATACTTATATATGCAATTGTATCTTCTAGTGATGATACAACTCTACATTCTATGTTTAATGGTGCATTTCTCAAAACATGTTTTTATATTTTATTTAGTTCATACTTTAGCATAGTGCTTATTAGTTAAGACCTTTTCCCAGTTTGTGAGTTGTTCTTTTACTCTGTTGGTAATTTCTTTTGATGAGCAAAAGCTTCTCAATAAGAGGAGATCCCAGTTGTTAATTCTTTCAAGTGTTATCCATGCAGTTTGATTTTTATTCATGAACTCTTTGCCTATGCCTTTGTCTTCAAAATTTCCTCCTGCTTTCTCTTCCAGAAGATTTAGTGTTTCTGTTTTTATGTTTAGATCTGTAATCCATTTTAACTTTAGTTTAGTGCATGGGGATAGGCCTGGATCAAGTTTTAGTTTTTGGCATGTAGGGAGCCAGTTTTTCCAGCACCTTTTGTTAATGATAAGGTGGCTATCTTTCTTCCAGTGAGTATGTTTGGCCTTTTTGTCAAAGATAAGGTGGCTGAGTGTGTTCGGAGTTGCTCCTCCATCTTCTAATCTATTCCATTGATCCTCAGGTCTATTTTTTTTTTTTTTTTTTTTTTTTTGCCAATACCATGCTGATTTTATCACAGTAGCTTTGTAGTATAATTTCAAGTCAGGAATTATAATGCCTCCTGCCTTGTCTTTGTTGCCCAGGATTGCCTTTGCTATTCTAGGTTTTTCTGGTTACAAATAAATTAGTTTAAGCTTACATTTGTTTTTTGTTTTTTGTTTTGTTTTGTTTTGTTTTTTGCTTGGGCTTTTTTCCCCATAATTTTATTGAGAAACAAATAGCAATGAGACAGTTTCAAATCAAATAGGTAGGACAGTTTCAATAGTCAACACATTGCATACATTCTTCCTAGTGGTTAATTACTGTACAAGATGCGGACATGATTAAGCTTACATTTGTATATAAAATAAATTTTATCCAGTTATTCTTGCAGTTAAAATTTTTTCCTTATTTCTGTCATTGCTGGGTTGTAGTTCATTTATAGGAAAACAGTCATCAAAATCTGTGAGTTTGAGATTTTACTGGATAAAAACAAAAAAAACCCTACAATTACTTCTAATTTTACTAGGAGAAAATTTCAATGCTCAGAAAAGTCTATATGTGTCCATTTTACCAACTTTATCCTTCAGTTTCTGCAATGATCCTTTATTTTTTTCAATGGAAAATGGAAATACACTTTTTAAAGTTTCTGATACTAGAAGAAAATATCATTCTATGTCTTATAAGTAGATTGTATGTCAAAGAAAGAGTATAAAACATGAAACACAAATTAAAATTAAATAATATTCAGAAAATTAATTAAATATTAATTCAAAATTAAATTAAATATTTCAAAACAATATTCAAAAATTAAAATTAAATTTTTAAGTTAGGAATTTAAGTTACTGAAAATTACCCATTTAAAGTGTTTGCAATAAAAAATAAAGTGTTTGCATTTATATATTACTGGGTTTTTTTTTTCCTTTTTTTTTTTTTGGTGGAACTGGGGATTGAACTCGGGCCCTTGCGTTTTGCCAAGCAAGCGCTTATTCTACTGAGCCATCTCCCTGGCCCCCCATTTGCATTTATATAATTGGTTACAGTTTTGCTTTATTTTTTAAATTAATTTTATTGAGAAACAAATAGCAGTAAGACAGTTTCTAAACAGGATAGTAGGACAGTTACAATAATTAATACATTGTATATTGTTGTCTTTGTGGTAGTTATCCATAGTACAAGATGCATGCATGTTATCCTGTCCAAACACTATTAGTACAAATATTTCTTCTCATTGAATTAAGAGAAAGTATCTGTATGTCTATTCTAACTATTTTGCATATATAGATATAAAATGGTCCTTCATTTATATCCCCCTTTTTCATTTAGTTTTGTCAGAGATGGATATTCCATTGCCATTTAAATATTGTAGGTGCATTAATTCATCAAAATAATCCAATATAGTCCAGTAGTTATAGTGGGTTATCTGTAGGACTGTGCAGACCTCAAAAGTCATCTCTGAAATTGCTGGACTGTAGACCTTGTTCCCTGTTCTAGCTGTGCTTTCTACCACCCTTTTTTTTTCCCCATAATTTTATTGAGAAACAAATAGCAATGAGACAGTTTCAAATCAAATTAGTAGGGCAGTTTCAATAATTAACACATTACATAATGTGTTCCTAGTGGTTATTTGTTGTACAAGATGCAGACATGATATCCTATTTACAAACACTATTCAAACAAATCCCTCTATTCATTGAATTCAGAGAATGTAGCTGTATATCTAAACCATTTTGAATACACAGATACAAAATGGTCATCCATCTGTATCCCCTTTTTTTGTTTAGTTCCGTTGTTTAAATATTATAGGTGTGTGAACTCAGCAAAATATTTTAAAAGAGTCCAGTAGTCCCTAATAGTATTGGGTTCTTCCACATGACTGACAGTGTCAGAAGTTGTTGACCTGAGTCCCCTACAGCTCAACATAACAACATGGCTTTACTTCTTATACTTCGTTTTTATACTATTCTGCTGGATGGTTAAGACCAAGGTAAAGCAAGACCTATGTAACAAGAATTGCAGCTTTTGTATCTGATAAGGTCAGTCAAATCCCCTTAGGATTTTTCCTGAGACCCTGTATCTCAGATTGTAGATCCTTTGTCAGTGTCAGCCATGTGGATGAGTCATGACCATTGCTTGGCCAATGTGCTCTCTGTGAAAGCCTGAGGGAATGTTTTCTCTCCATGTGACTCTCCTTAGGCACACTCTACATCATTGATCACTTTTCTCTGTGGCCTCATAATCTCCTTGATCAGAAAATTTGGGACACTACTGAGTTACATGATGTTACAGTACAGTTTCTCATACGTCCTGAGTCTTAAGTGACCTTGGAAGGCTAGGGCCAAAATGTTGGCTTTCTTTGTGACCCTCCTTTTACTCTAATTTTTGGTCTGCACACTCAGGTTGTTAACTCTCCAGAAGAGAAGCTTATTGTTATTACCATACAACCTAAGCTGTTGAGCTTAACCTCACTATCTGTCTGAATATCAAACATCTTAGGCATAATACAGTTTTGTTTTAAATTACACTTATACCATTTTCACTTTTCACTCATGGCACAAGACATAAACCAAAGAGATTCTTACAAAAAATAAGCAGAGAATAACATAATTGCTTTTTTTTCAAATATACATTTTGGAGCTTTAACTACATTTCATTTTTGCCATTTAGTTTTAAAAATTTCTATGTAGGGGCTGGGGAGATAACTCAGCACTCTAAATTCCTGCCTGACAAGAGCAAGGACCCAGGATAGATCCCTGGTAGCGCATGCCATGCCAGCCCCAGAACCCGGAGCATGCTGTGATGAGCACTATCACCCTAATTCAAAATTAAAGTTTTCAAAATAATGTTCAAAAATTAAAACTAATATTGAAACTGTCCTACCAATTTGATTTGAAACTGTCTCATTGCTATTTGTTTATCAATAAAATTATGGGAAAATAAAAAAATTAAAATTAAATTGTGAGTCCAACTAAGATGCCAGAATGTAGTATATCATATGTATGAATCTGTGATCAATTGAGAGTACTCACACAGTACTTGATTAGTTTAATATAGACAAAAATATCAAATAAGAAAAAGTTTTCATGGTAGTAAAGAATTACTAAGAATAAAACATGCAAAAATACTGGAATGGCAAATATATTAGCAGCACTTCTAACAGTTTGGGGATAGGATATCACACAAAGTTCTAGTATGTGGTGGATGTGGACTGTGTCCATGATGCTTACTGGTGGCCAGGTGTCACTTGTGGTACTCAGCTACTGCTATATCTTTGATATCCACCCTGTAGACCCAGACAGACTCATGACCCATAAGGTGCAGGAGAAGTGCATTTGTAGAGTATGCTGATGGAAATACTTTACATCAGCCGTTATATACTTTTTTTTCGCCATATGTTTAATTGTTTGGCCTGTTTGGTGGGTTCTTTACATTCTCATTCATGGAGTTGTGATCATTTTGATCCCCCTCTAGAATATCTTTTAGTAGTCTGTGTAGGGTTGGCTTTGTTCTCATGAAATTCTTTAGTTGTTCTTTGTCGTGGAAGTATTTCACTTGTCCGTTAAACTTGAAAGAGAGTTTTGCAGGGTATATTAATCTGGGTTAGAATTTTTTTTTTTTTGTGCAAGACTTGAAGTAATTTGTTCCTTGCTCTTCTTGACTTGATGGTTTGTGAAGAGAAATCTGTCATTATTCTGATGGGTTTTCCTTTAATGTGATCTGTTTCTTTTCTCTAGAAGTTTTCAATGTACTGTTTCTGTGTTGAATTTCTGGGATCTTGATTATTATATGTCTGGGTGTGGTTTTAATTGAGTTGATGTTATTTGGAGTTCTATATGCTTCAGTTACTTCAATGTCAGACTTTCCCTCCCATATTTGAGAAGTTTTCTGCTGTTACTCCTGCCAATATCCTTTTTATATCATTTGTATTTACTCTTTCTTTCTCATTGGTGCCTGTTAGTCTCACATTGTTCATCTTAGCATTG